AAATAATCATAAAAGTTATATACCATTTTGAAATTTTCTCAATATTTATTCCATAATTAATTGAAATGTATAAACGAATGAGCTCACAAGAAGCGGTAGGACAGGCTCTGTATGTAAAAGAAATGGCTTATCTCTTAGCAACAATGAGTAAACAGCTGATTTCGAAGCGGAGTAACAAGCGACACGTATACGTTACTCCGCCTCGAAATCAGCTGTTTACTCATCGTTACTAAGAGATAAGCCATTTCTTTTACACACAGAGCCTGTCCTACCGCTTCTTATGAGCTCATTCGTTTATACATTTCAATTAATTACGGAATAAATATTGAGAAAATTTCAAAATGGTATATAACTTTTATGATTATTTGGACCCGTTCTACTCGTACACGGCGGTTGCTCGATTAGTTACCGGACACCCTGTATATATAATTTAAATAATTGATTCTTTTATCATTATATATAGATTTTCAAAATCCCTAAATTGCACGAAATAATCTGATATTTGTAAAAATTTTCATATAAATGAGAAAGGTACAGAATATTTTTATCATAATTTAAAAATATTTCAGTGATAAATGGTGTTAAAAAGTACGTTTCTCTCTCATATATCACAATGATATTACATATTTGTAATCGCGAACAAAACAACCAATAAATAACAGGAACAAAAATACGATAACAGTTAAGATCGTCCCAAATAGCAGACTCGCGTCAAAATAACATCAAAAACTGGTCGATTGACGTCAAATGACTAAATAATGACGTCTTAATGACATTTCTATATAACGTCTTAATGACGTATTATTAACGTTTAGAGACGTCATTAAGTCGTCTTACAATGTCGTCATCGATTTGTGACATTAAACCATTATTTTGACGATATTTTTACGTCACTTTTGGTCATTTCTTGGTTATTTTTGGTCATGAATTTACCAGATTTAAACGTTATTTTGATGTGAGTCTGTTACCTGGAATAGCTGTTATTTGGTTCTGACAGTGCTACAGATATTGATAGACGTTTAAAATTGCCACTAGCAAACCATAATTAATAGTCAAAATCCTCAATATATTTGTCAATCTTTTACTTTAACATTTTGACATCAACGATCAGTATGATTACTGCTTTACTGATAGATCATCATGCAACCTAACGAAATCCACAGGAAGTCTTAACTCCTATTTTGGAAAGGGGGACGAAAGAATAATGATGCCACTATTCTTGGTCTTATCTAAATCAGAACTAAATAGATTGCGTGATGTGGAGTAGGAATGTTAAATCTAAAAACCGCGACGAAAGTAATTGCACAGGCAATAGGCGGGAGTGGTCGATATATCGACCAGCAGTCAAATTGGCGACTCCACATAAGAAATTCATTACATTTATAGCTCAATTTCGCGTAAAATAAGAAGTCGATTTCAATTGAAATTCATTCCGTTAAAAGATTAATAGCTGCTTTCTTTACGTTCCAATGTTTACACGTTGTAAAAATTTTGCTTACGGTTCCGTCTTCCTTTACATTAGATTTATTCTTCAAGGTTGTATTATAAACCATTCTTTTTGAGGAAAATTTATAGTTGAAAAGTCTATAGTTGACGTTACATTACATATATTATAGACTTTTAATAAAATTTGCTTCGAAAAGGACGTTTTGGAATGTAATTTAAATATTCTCTCGCACGCGCCTAAATGAATTCAAATATCCCCACTCCACGTCACGTGACTTCTTTAGTTCGGTTGGTGAGAACTATGGTAGAGGCGCTGGAAATCTTTCCCCTTTTTTCCAAGAGTAAAGATAGCCCCCTCTGTGGAACTCCAGCAGTCGTCGGTGTACTATCGTGCTTGACGGTAGTGATAATGGCGGCTCCGGCGAAAAAACGTGATGTCTTGCAGAATTTGCACGAGGAACGCGATGATGAAGAGGACCGCGACTCATCCGTGTGCGAGGACGACGAAGATGGACAGGTGGGAGACAGTTATTTGTATTTCATGTAATATCGCATCGCGATACCGGGTGAGCTAACCCCACGGCGACCACGCGGTCGCCTCCGTATGTCCAGTTGAATTTACTTTTTCATCTTTTATTATTTGTTGTCCAGTTTATTATTCTATTCTCACCGTTTGTCTCATCGATACGACCAAGCGCTTTGTAAAAAAAGAACAAAAATGACTGATTCAAACAGCAATCTCGTGCAAGAGGCTAACGCTCAGCTCTTATTCTAGCGTGAATGGCCCTCGTTTTATAGAAGTTGACATAATATCGCCAATTTGTAGGTATAAATCGTGTAAATTGTTTTGTTTATCAAATTTTTACTTATTTTTTGCGATTGGCTATTTAATATGTTCACTGTCGATGAGTCACATGTGAGTAATTATAATGTCGTAATTTGTTGTAACACTCAGGTATGTACTATGTTTAATTTTATAATTTTCCTTATAGATTGTACATATGTTCTTTTTTTTGGAGCTTCTTATAGATCCTTATTGATGTAATATGATATAATACAAATAGCTAGATAAACAGGTATATATTTGACAGCAGCTTTACTAATTTATTTGTGAAGATTGCATTCCTTTTGACTTTACATGTACTTATATTTGTCACATAAAATAATTAAACAGAAATATGAAAAAAATACGAAAAATTTTATTAAAGAATAAAGTACATATAAAAATGTTCAAAATTTGCTTAGAACAATTTGTTATGTAAAATGTGATATGAAAATCAAAATAACTTTTAGTAAATTCATTAAGCTGCATCAACAATAAAACATTTTTGTTATTATATAAAATTAATAATTAATTCAATATAGTATATTCTTACTTTACATAAATTTAGAAAAATTGTAGTTTTCATTATTGATTGTCTCATCCTATGATAATTAAAAGAATCTATCTGAATATCGATAAATAATGAAATCTAGTATGATCAATGATAATTTCAGGGAATGGAGATTCAGGTAGATTTTGAGGGCCGTAATCCACAGGATCCAGATTACCATGGAATCAAAATATTGCTGCAGCAACTTTTTCTCAAAGCTCACATTGACTTGGGTGGACTCACCGACTTAATAATAGCACAAAATTATGTGGGGTCTGTCGTTAAACAGTCCAATGACATGGAAGAGTCTGATGATGATGCTGATGATGATGATGTCAATGATGTGTTTGGTATTACAACTGTTATTAATGTCTCAGACAGGCAGGTAAGGAAAATAAATAGCAATGTGTTATTATCGTCGAGTATAAACTCTTACTGACAAGCAGCTTTTAAGCAGTAATCCTTTTTACATGAGAAAATTCTTTTTCTGTTTTCAGAATCTTCCTTGTATACAACAGCTTAGAGATTTATTGAAGCAATTGGCGAGTGAACACGCCACGGATCCTGCCAATGCCATGATAAAAAACGTGCTGGAAAACGATGCTGCTCAGTTGGGTTTGCTCATCAACGAGAGATTCGTCAACATTCCGGCCCAAATCGCGGTGCCGCTGCTCGAGAACTTGATCTCCGAGGTGAAACGTGCCACCAACAAAAACATGCCATTTAACTTCACCTACTACATACTTATCTGCAAGTTGTACAAGTGGGAGGACAACAAGAAGATCAGTAGGAAGACGAAAAATAAGAATAAAAACGCCGACAACGAGTCGACTATATTGTGGAGCAATAGGGAAGAGGAGATTTTCGCGGAAGAGGCGACCATTAGTTTCGAATTCTCCGTGGAAAAAGACTCGGATACTGGTTTGTCCGGCATGTGGACTGAGACGGACGATGAAATGGTACCTTTCAGACGCGTTCTCCTTTTTGAGGCTTCGAAATTGCAATCTATCATTGACAAAATAAAGAGCCAGGTTTCTTAATCGTATACACGCGAGTGGGAGTAGCATCGTCACTGCTGGTTTCCCCCTTCTCCCTGCGAAACTTCCTTCTCGCAATAGAACGGAAGGAAAGGATGTGCTTTTCAAAGACAATTTCTTTTATATCTCGTGTACGACAACGTGTAATTGTGATGGCACGTGTATGGAGTGCTTTATGTAATACACCTACATAAAACGCTTACTGCAAATTGTCGACGTAAATTTTTTCACCCACTCTACTTTCATGTTTATCTAGTTTTGTTTCTCCTGACGTCGAGTGTTACATATTCGCGAGATATTCGACAGTCTCTGTATCAAACTTGATCTCGCTTCGGGACATTTCATACACATTAATATAAAAGTTAATTTCTAATAAAATACAGATTTTCAATAAAATACAGATATACAAATTTTCTTATTGATCAAGATATATATATATATATATATATATATATATATATATATATATATATATATATATATATATATATATATATTTGAATAAAAATACACTGTAAAATGACGTTTTATCGCTCTTGTAATAAAAACAGATCTATATTAAAAAAAAATACAGCAGTTTTAAAATGGCTAGAGTTAATTTAACCTCATATGGTTCGCGATATATATATATATATATTTGAATAAAAATACACTGTAAAATGACGTTTTATCGCTCTTGTAATAAAAACAGATCTATATTAAAAAAAAATACAGCAGTTTTAAAATGGCTAGAGTTAATTTAACCTCATATGGTTCGCGATATATATATATATATATTTGAATAAAAATACACTGTAAAATGACGTTTTATCGCTCTTGTAATAAAAACAGATCTATATTAAAAAAAAATACAGCAGTTTTAAAATGGCTAGAGTTAATTTAACCTCATATGGTTCGCGATATATATATATATATATTTGAATAAAAATACACTGTAAAATGACGTTTTATCGCTCTTGTAATAAAAACAGATCTATATTAAAAAAAAATACAGCAGTTTTAAAATGGCTAGAGTTAATTTAACCTCATATGGTTCGCGATATATATATATATATATTTGAATAAAAATACACTGTAAAATGACGTTTTATCGCTCTTGTAATAAAAACAGATCTATATTAAAAAAAAATACAGCAGTTTTAAAATGGCTAGAGTTAATTTAACCTCATATGGTTCGCGATATATATATATATATATTTGAATAAAAATACACTGTAAAATGACGTTTTATCGCTCTTGTAATAAAAACAGATCTATATTAAAAAAAAATACAGCAGTTTTAAAATGGCTAGAGTTAATTTAACCTCATATGGTTCGCGATATATATATATATATATTTGAATAAAAATACACTGTAAAATGACGTTTTATCGCTCTTGTAATAAAAACAGATCTATATTAAAAAAAAATACAGCAGTTTTAAAATGGCTAGAGTTAATTTAACCTCATATGGTTCGCGATATATATATATATATATTTGAATAAAAATACACTGTAAAATGACGTTTTATCGCTCTTGTAATAAAAACAGATCTATATTAAAAAAAAATACAGCAGTTTTAAAATGGCTAGAGTTAATTTAACCTCATATGGTTCGCGATATATATATATATATATTTGAATAAAAATACACTGTAAAATGACGTTTTATCGCTCTTGTAATAAAAACAGATCTATATTAAAAAAAAATACAGCAGTTTTAAAATGGCTAGAGTTAATTTAACCTCATATGGTTCGCGATATATATATATATATATTTGAATAAAAATACACTGTAAAATGACGTTTTATCGCTCTTGTAATAAAAACAGATCTATATTAAAAAAAAATACAGCAGTTTTAAAATGGCTAGAGTTAATTTAACCTCATATGGTTCGCGATATATATATATATATATTTGAATAAAAATACACTGTAAAATGACGTTTTATCGCTCTTGTAATAAAAACAGATCTATATTAAAAAAAAATACAGCAGTTTTAAAATGGCTAGAGTTAATTTAACCTCATATGGTTCGCGATATATATATATATATATTTGAATAAAAATACACTGTAAAATGACGTTTTATCGCTCTTGTAATAAAAACAGATCTATATTAAAAAAAAATACAGCAGTTTTAAAATGGCTAGAGTTAATTTAACCTCATATGGTTCGCGATATATATATATATATATTTGAATAAAAATACACTGTAAAATGACGTTTTATCGCTCTTGTAATAAAAACAGATCTATATTAAAAAAAAATACAGCAGTTTTAAAATGGCTAGAGTTAATTTAACCTCATATGGTTCGCGATATATATATATATATATTTGAATAAAAATACACTGTAAAATGACGTTTTATCGCTCTTGTAATAAAAACAGATCTATATTAAAAAAAAATACAGCAGTTTTAAAATGGCTAGAGTTAATTTAACCTCATATGGTTCGCGATATATATATATATATATATATATATATATAATTAACCTTCCGCGAACCATATGGGGTTAAATTAACGCTAGCGATTTTAAAACTGCTGTATTTTTTTAAATATAGATCTGTGTTTATTATAAAAACAATGAAACGTCATTTTACAGTGCATTTTTATTCAAATAATGTATTTGTATATGGATTTGTATGGATGTTCAGGATAAAATTTACCTCACATGATTCAAAGCATGACTTTTCACCTGGCTTGTGGAAATTTAAAATAATAATTGTTATTTTATATTGTTACTAATTATTTTTTATTTCCTTATTATTTTTCCATTACTAGCAAACATAAGTTTTCTATAAGCGTCAATTTTGTTAATAACTTTATTATTTATTTATGAATAAAAATGCAAAATTGATCGTATTTTCTTATTAGTTTAGCCATTAGGACATTTATTATTAATATTATTACCATTAGTTTAGTGCGAAAGGTTTCTATAGTGTTTATTAAATTAAAATCGAAAACAAAAGTATCGAATTGCGAACGCGGTTAATAATGTTTACAAGTGAAATCAACTACATCAACTAACACTAGGCAACTCAAAAATTCAAAAAATTCTGAAACTTTGTGTGCAAGTAGAGTAGTTCATCCGTAACTAGTACTTTAGAACTGGCATCGGATCGTTCCTCCCTGATGAAGCGGACTGAAATGTTCGCGAAACGCGATCAAACAAAGATGAATCCACGCGGCTCAAACCCGGAAACCAAATCTAATGTACTTTAGAACTATAATAAAAAAATTTTTTTTGTTTATTGATTAGTTTATTTTGTTTAGTTATTGTATACCTCCTATTTAATCCCACCCTTATTTAAAAAATTTTTTATTATAGTTCTAAAATACTCTTAAAATTATTCAATTTTTACTTTAGAAAATTTATTCTACCTCTCATACTTTCGACGATATTCGCTTCAAAAGAAAAAAACCGATTTTTTTCAAAGAGATATTTCACCCCCTAAAACTAATTCCGCACGAACAAAAAATAGTTTTGTGTTACGAATGAACTACTCGTATACAAAGTTTCAGAATTTTTTGAATTTTTGAGTTGTCTAGTGTTCCTTGTATTTTTCTAGACATCTAACAAGGATCTCTTATTTTCCTTCATAATGCCCAAACTTTCTATAATTCAATAGAGAAATGAGAAATGTATCAATCTAGTAAACGTATAATAATAATAATAACAACAATAATTATTATTATTATTTATTGAATTACTTAGTACATAAAGAGAGTTTTTGGCATTGTAAATTGCATCCTTAGTGCTCTAAGACATTTAGAGTACTGTCCTTAGAGTACTGTCGACGTATATATTTGAACAGCGAAAACCGTCGCTGTGGCCTGCGGGCATATGTACCACATGGATCGTTCAGCTGCTCCATACTCCAAGAATTAGGCAAGTCCTACGATGTCACATCTGGGTGTTTGATCAGAATTGTCTTTTTGGTTTCGCTTTGCGCCTCATGTCACCGAGAATATTCAGCATTTCGGAAACCGCTGACGGCGTGTTCTCCGCTTCCTGCTGTTTCTTCCGCTCTTCTCTTTGTTTCTAAAGTCAACAATCCTCGCTCAAGATTACATGCATCAAAGTTTGTCGAAGGAAATATATTGCACTTTGCTTAAACAATCCAAACGGTCTAGGAGATTACTTAAAGACATTAGTTTCCAAAAAATATTCGAGAGATTGAAAAATTTCTCTGACATCCAGGTTTTCGAGTAATTAATTATTTTTTTAATTAATCACTTAATGCACATGCCCGTCTCTGACACGGGCGTTCCTTATTGGCTATTTTGAACGTGCCCGTGTTTCATACTGTAATACTTACTCGATAAATTGTATTTGCTCGACTTCTACTCAGTTGACTCATTCGTATACATTTATGTACTTTATGTCGCTGACAAATCTAAATTAATCCTGCTTAATTGACCAATAATTTAAAATAAACTTTTACATTAAGTGATTAATTGTCATATTTAATATAAGCGGATTCAATTGGAGGCTGTTTAATTGACAATTAATTTCAACAAATTCAATCGAAGATTGATTGACGATTGATTTCAACGAATTCAAGTAAAAATCGTTCAACTGACGATTGAGACAATTGAGATGACTGCAAATAATCAAAGATCATTAATAATTAATAATTGAACTTAGCACATTCAATTAAAGGTCGTTTAACTGAAGATTGATGTGAGCAAATGTTTATACAGTCAATCACAATTAGCTGCTTGAGAAGTTGTAAATTCGAAATTCTAAAATATAAGACATCTAGCCCCGATCTTCCTTATCTACAAAACCAATTATAACCTTGAATAATCGAATGGTTTTCAATTGAATTTATTCATATTAATCGTCAATTAGACGATCCTTAATTAGATTTATTATACGGAAAAAAAATTGGATTAACCAAATATCTGGTAAAATATCTAGATAGCACACAATATTTTTTTTTCTATGGATATCCTATAAATATCCTTACACCCAAAAAAATATTCTACGTATAAAGTAAATTTTCCTCTAACTCCATGTTCTAAAAGAAATATCTTACAGAAAGCATATTTATCTTTCATTAAAGGGAACCACTTATCGTGGATTTATGAGATATTATTCTAATTGTGTTCCGTTATATCAAGAAGAATATGTTAATTTATGTTAATTATGAAGCACAATGCTGTCTTACGTGCAGTACGAGAGACGCGAAGAACTGTTGTTTCGCTGCGTACTGTACGATTGGTTGAAATCAAGCGCCACGCTTAGAGCTTCCACCGTCAATTCACCGTCGACGTTTCAATCAAATCGACGTTGAAATCATCAAACCGACGTCAGTTTGATATCATTTTGACGTTAATCAACGAATCATTTTCACTGGGTATATAGATGTCGCAAACATGAAGTCTTAAATAGTTCAGTGGGAAGAGCGGTTGCCTTATATTAGGCTAGATGTCTTATATTTTAGAATTTCGAATTTACAACTTGCCTGACAAGCGGAGAAAGAACCTGGATTCGATCCCAGCCAAGTCTGATGTTTTTCATCTCATATGTCATTAAAAGTGGACATCTATAGATACACACAAGCACTCTGGTCAAAGTTTTCTGATCTTTCTTTCGTGTGAATGCGATAAAATTTATTAAATCCGAAGAAATATTTTTGAGTTGAAGTAGTATATAAGAGGAAATTTAGATTAAGAACAAATATATAGATTTGCACTGTACATTCAATATGAAATTCTTTAAGAATTTATCTATCTTATATAATATCTTAATATCTTTAAGAATTGGATTTAAGATTATTTTTCTCTTGATTTCAAAGCAATTCTTTTGAGCCCATATGTAAGAGTAAAATACTCTAAGATTTAGAGAATTCCACTTCTATTAAAATTATTTTTTTTTGGGTGTAGGATATAAGACGTCCTCTGAACATTTTTAGAATGTCCCTGGGAGATTTGTGCTATTAAGGTATGTTTGAATCAGAATTTTAGTTTAAATTATCAGAATTCTGTTTAAGTTAATAAGATTTCTAGCTAATCAGAAATCTTATTTGGTAACTTTGACCGGAATTCTTGTTCGTTCGTATCTCGTCAAACGTTTGTTTGTCGACCAAACGTTTGGTCGATCCAACCAAATTTTCTTTGCCGTATGAACTCAATCGTCACTTAAACGACCTTTAATTAAATTTGCTAAGTTCAAATTGTTAATTAAATCTGTGCTGGGAGATGTGTGCTGTTTAGTGATCTTTACATAATAATACGTAATAATACATATTTTGGGTATTTACGCAGTTCAGTTTTTTTTTGTACTTACGCTTATTCGCTTCAGCGTGAAATGTCCGCCTTTGATCTGATTAATGATCTCGTCGATAGCTGAAAATATCAGATATGCATTAATATGAAGAGAATCGTGATTCTCACAACGATGAGAAACATTCGCGTTATGGTTGATTCACGATCAATGAAATAACAAACTAGCATAATTACCGAATTGTTGCGGAGCCGAGTGTACTTTTTTCGACGAGGTGTCGAGCATGCTGTCCATTTTGGTTACGGCTGTGAGTTCCGCGTCCGATTTTTCTCTAATCATCAGTTTTATCGTCGGTTCTTTAGCTATCAACATCGACGGCGGTGGTAGTGGCGGTGGTGGCGGTGGTGGCGGCGGCGGCGGAGGCATTAATTTCTCCTTCAACTCTTTGATTTCCTGTCTTAAGCAATGCACGAGCTCCTTGAGCTCCTCCACACATTCCTCGGCATCGTTGGCCCTCTTAACTTGCGTCTCTAAATTCATCTGGAAGAGTGTCATATTCACTTTGGTCATCTCGTGCATCGTATCCGCCTCTTCAAGATTCTTTTGCATCTTCAACAGCTGCGACATGAGATCGTTGCCTTTTTCCACCTCTTTCTTCAGGTCCTCCACCTTTCGCAGCACAGATAATATACATCATGTAAAAACAGATATATAATATAATATATAATATAAAAACAGATATATGCAATGTAAAATAAAAATAATCTTTTTTCCGAGTTATCTCTGACGTCGGCCATGAGAAGTGCGGTTTGATGCGTTACAATGTCTCGTTCCTTTTGTATTTAATCATACGCATCAAATTAATCAATATTATATATCGAAGTGAATCGTTCCAATTCTCTCTGACTCGTTTCGGAAAGTTAAAATATAGGGAAGACCGGAGCTATATAGCTCCAGTATTTTAGTCATGTTTTTAGTATTTATCTTGAAAAAAATAGGAGAAATGAGTACAAAATCGCGAAATGATCCTTTTAGAATATAACTACTTTTTCCTAAATTTCATTAAAATCGAAATAATATTACAGTTAAAAAACAGAAAAAATTTTGTTTGGTAATAGCAAAATAAATTATTGAGCTTCTTAAAATTTTGTATTAATATTCTCCATTGTGACTAAACAAAATTAAGCAATGTATTACTAGAATGAAATTTCTTACACGTGTATGACATACTGTTTCTGGTAACAAATGCAATTTTCATTCATAAAATAATTGAAATAAAGCATATACCCCAATATCACAGTTCATTGGCGTTACATTGGCGTTACATTGACGTTACATTGGCCCAATATTGGTTACATTAGCATACATTTAGTCAATATAGCCAATATGTAGCCAATATTGATTATAAATAAAATGTGAATAAATGTCCAATATTGCACATGATTGTACCAATATTGGCATATATTGGGGGTACATTAGGCCAATATAACCCAATATAGCCAATATTGGTAACAAGTGAATTGCCAATATTCGGAATTCTATATTGGCTATAAAATGCAAGGCATCTATTTTACAATATTGAGCCAATATTGGGTATATTGCGGCCAAATTTACCCCATATTATCCCAATGAACTATGCTACTAGGATCGACGAACGAGATAAAGTTGGCCCATAATTAAGGGTCAACAGGAGGGTGCTGTGGAAACCTCTCGCGGAAACTCTGGAAGTATTAATCAGGATACATATTTTATACGTGGCTTTCTTATCCTGCGCTACTGAGCAACTGAAGTCAATACCAGGGAAAGATGGCTCTGTTGATATATGCTTGTATTTTGATTATTACAAAATAAAATATATAGTTAATAGTGCCATATATAAGTGCCATATATAAATATATAGTTAACATTAATACACAGAAGAAGGTTGTCTCTATTATGTTTATACAATCAGTCACAATAATTATATTGCCTGAGAAGTTGTAACTTCGAAATTCTAAAATATAGAACATCCAGCTGCGGTCTCCCCTATTCTTTACTCAATGTTTCCATCGCATGCACGCATTTGTGAAATTTATTAATGAAAATTTACTTATGAAAATTTTATTATAATTAATAAATTGTATATTAGGAATTATTTTTCTAAGAGAAGTAATCAGGTTTGTATAAATAACCGTTATTTGAAGCTACTTTCAAGTGAAATATTCAGATTTGAACTTAGACCCGTATTAGGAGTCATTAATTGTTAATTGTGTCACGTGAAAGATACTTCTATTTGAATTCAGAATTAAAATTGAATTTTTCAGTTGAACCATGTGATATATGTGATGTTATATTTGTAACCGTGATTCAAACTGAGAGAAATACTCACATATAACTAACTAAGGTTTGTGTTAATAATCATTACTTGGAACTTGTCTCACGTTAGATACTCAGATTTAAAAAAAAAATTCAGAGTTAGACCTAAATTTTTCCGGGAAAATCGTATAATATACGTGATGTTACATTTGTAATCGCTATTCTACTGAAAAACTCACAACTTTAAATTCAAATCTGAAAATCTCAGTTGAAACAAGTTTCAAGCAACAACTATTAATATGGGATTTAAGCCCGTATTAATAGTCGTGTTTCTGCTGAAAATCTTAGCTGATCTAGTTCTTGAGATACAATATGGTTCAATAGTTCTATCTTGAAATCCATTTCAAAATGAAATCTTGAGAAGAGATCAAATAAGAAAAGATCAATCGAGAATGTGTAGTGAGAATTATTTTGCGCCTTTCAATAGTCGATTATTAAAATGACATTAAATATATTTATGTTAATAATCGCTATTTCTTGTTTTATAAAGAATTTCACATTCGAGGAAATCTTTCGTGTTATCAAATTCACAGATGTAAAAAAGATTAAGAAAGATTTGTTTCATGAGACGTGTCAATTGGGAAATTTAATTTAACTCTAAATTAAGGAATATCCTTACATAAACACAAATTAGTTTGAAGTGACAGCTATTAATAATGGGTCTAAATAACTACAGAGCGACGTACCCTCTCGGCGTCTGTCTTGTAACTTTGTAACTTCTTTCTCACGTGATCGCATTGCACCTTCAGCTTCTGCTCGTGCTCATGCTCTTCCATTATTCTCTTCAACTCGTTGTCTGTCCACATTTTGTCTATTATCAGCTCGCGATTTTCCTGGACGGCTGCAACAGAGATAAAAATCAGTCGGTTCGACTTATTTTCACAAATATTTCACGCATATAAACACAAGATTACAAAACATTATGTTTTACTTTCTCGTCGGAGACATCTCTCACTCTCCAGCTCTGTAGTCAGTTGTGTCACCTTCTCTTGGGCTTCGAATTCCAGAAGCCGGGCGGAATGAAGTTCCGTTTGGAGCCGTGCTATTTCGCTGCTAAGTTCTGTAAGTAAATTCATGGGCCATTTGTAATCAAATTGTTGTTTAGCGCTGCTCGCAACCACACTACTATCCAGCTTCTACTTTTCATCAAATGCAATAATTGTTTCCCTTTCTTTTTTGCTATTCATCCTCCTCGTGAGTGATATCGCAATCTCGCAAAAGAGAAAATAAATCGCAAAACGCTCATTCAAGTCGAGCAAACAGAAACTGGAGAGATAAGCAAATAGCGCTTACCTGTCACCGTTTGCCTCAGCTGATCCAAATCCTCCGAGTTCGAGTCCACTTCATCTAATGACATCATGTAGGGCGCCTCCATTGGATTGTTCTGCAGATGCTGCATCATCAACTGAGACATGCGCTTGAGCTTGCAGTTTTGCTTGTACCACTGAAAGTACAATCATGCGTTTTAAGATACATACAGGGTATCATGGAGGCAGAGTTGGGTAAAATGCTCTTCGAATTGCAATTTAAAATGCCAAATGTAAAATACTTTAAAAATTGTATTTAAAATGCAAAATGTAAAATGGGTTTGTCGAATCCATTTTAAATATAAATTTGGCAAATAGGTATTTTAAATGGTTTTCAAATGCAAAATGGCTTTTCTTAGTATATGTAGTTTATTTGGGTATTCATACATTTTATAGTTTTATTCGATAAGTACGATGTTTAATTTAAGCTGCAACTGTTTTTCAAATGTATGTATCATCGTGCATTCTTCGACGATTGGGGTGCACAATCATATCTCCATATGAAAATAATTGTTCTACTGGCGCAGACGACGGAGAAGCGCAGTATTAGATTTTATAAAAATTTCTTGAATCGTAGGAAACGCATTAAGCGAATCCAATGTATCTTTATTTTGCAAATACTGCAAGCATTGCAGTTCAATCGTATTTTTAACAGAAGTGTTGCAACACTTTCATCCTAAGATAACCCCCCTTCAAAGATAAAAAAACTTTCGTATTGCTTCGAATACATTCGTCGAATAATTTCAAATTTTTTACACACAGGTTAGCAAAGATTCAGCTTTATTAACAAGCAATCATTTCTTTTTTCTTTTGATATCCATCGTAACTTAAAGAACGGACAGCTAACAGCTGTTAAAGTAGCAGTAAAGTAGTAGTTTATTCGATAAAAAAAGTCAAAGTAATCTTTGAATCTTTTATTTAAGTTTTCTAGCAGCACAACTACTAATTTGGCACAGTATTTTAAATGCCGGAGTGTAGTTTTTGCAATTTCTTTTGAACCTAATAACCTCAGATTTAATTTTAATAACCTTAGATCTGTTCCTCATATTTTAACTCGGAGAAACATAGCCAGTCAGAACCATAATGTTGATTCAAGATTAATTTGACGTTGAAATGATCGATGAGCCGTTGAATCAATATTAATTCAATCGATGTCAAATCAACTTTGAAACATGTGGTTTTGATTAGATATTTGCTTATTAAACTATTTTTAACTATTTCTTGGAGTTTTTCTTGTATTTTCTAATATGCAGGATACTTGAGATTTTAATGGTTAAACTTTGAGAATATATAAATATATTCAAGAGAAATAAGAAAAAAAGTCACAATTACAAATTCACAATTTTTTTCATCAGAGATTTTTTATGCATAAAAGGGGTTTATGCAGTGTTTCTACAATCTTTCGGTGTTGTATGGACAAGTTGCCATTCACGGAACTATTTCATCAATTTGTTCATCAAAAATTAAGCAAGGACAAATGATGCTTGCGAACTTTGAACGTGGCTATAGAAGAAATTGTGTTTTGGCCAATCATATGGTTCCTCTTATGCGTTAATGACGTTAAGGGAAATTTGTGAGCGTTTAGAAAAACAATTTACCTATTTTATAAATAGTTAAATAGATATTTCTATTTCAAATGTAAAATGGAAATGGTTTTCTACAAAGTTTTTAAAATGGAAAGTGCAAAATGCCATTTCCATTTTAAATGCATATTTTGTGATTGTGGCGGCTTCGCCGTCACAGAATTAGTTGTGAATGATGACGGAAGGCGAGGAGAGCCGGATTCGCGCTCCCTTCTTCCGCGGGAAGGGCGGCAGCGTAGAATTGGTCTCGCATGCTTTTTGCGTGCGAGATTGCGCGTCTTACATTTTCTTTCGAGTGCGGCAGGTCACCTGAAGACAAGAGACGAGCGACGGCGGACCGGAAGCTACCGACGAACCAGACGGGACAGGATCCACCCTTCGCTGACATAAGCGAAGGGGCCCCCAGACAACTAAACGCGGATTGCGGGGAAAGGCTGGGCCTTGAGGACTAAATCCCGGAGGACGCCCTGGGACAATGAGAACTTCCGGCAGCCACCTACGCGATCGCAGAGGTTCCGGATGCCGACGAGCACGGTGTCCGTCGGCGAAGATCCAGAAAATTTGCTTATTAAACTATTTTTTGGAGTTTTTCTTGTATTTTCTAATATGCAGGATATTTCAGATTTTAATGATTAAACTTTGAGAATATATAAACATATTCAAGAGAAATAAGAAGAAAGGTCACAATTACAAATTCACAATTTTTTTATACATAAAAGGGGTTTATGCAGCGTTTCTACAATCTCTCGGTGTTGTATGGACAAGTTGCCATTCACGGAATTATTTCATAAAGCGCCGTTGTTGCGCGGGCCCGGTAAAGCGTCGTCTACAATATGCAGAGTAAGCTTGGAGTAAGAAGTAAGTCGTAAGAATTAACCAATCGTAGTCGATTATTATAAAAATAATCGTCTATAATTGGTTAATTCTTAAGCGTCGTCTACAATATGCAGAGTAAGCTTGGAGTAAGAAGTAAGCCGTAAGAATTAACCAATCATAGACGATTATTTTTATAATAATCGACTACGATTGGCCAATTCTTACGACTTACTTCTTTCTCCAAGCTTACTCCGCATATTGTAGACGACGTTTTAGGCATCCGCGTTAGAGCCGTGCGTTTTCAAAGGATCAATTGGACCTAGCGGCAATCGGCGGCGAAGATCGCGAGCCGAGAGAGCTTCGCGCTCGCGGAAAGCTCGTCACTGTGCGGCGTAACGCGAGCGAAGCGAGTCCAGCGAGCGAGCGAGAAAGAGAGTGTTGAGAGTACGATCAAGCGGAGTCTCCGTGTCGAGGACCACAAGGCGATCGAGGGCGCGGGTTTTTGGTGAGCAGACCACGGCCCGATGAACGTCAGCCTAAGTCGAAGCTTGAAATCGGAACGGCTGCCGTCGCTTCCCGACAGCAATCGGAAAGTTACCTGTCGCGTCTCGAATTGTAAGGCGTGATTGCCAGCGGGTTTCGCGAAACAGCGACCGCACAGAGAGAAAAAAATAGTTGGAATAACTATAATCTCACTATATTTTATAGTTCGTTTTGACCTTAAACATATATTTATAGTTCATCTAAACATGAAGATATAGTAGGATGAACACAGATTTTCACCATCTTATTACTCTATATATATGGTAAAGCACTTTTTGGGAATATAGTTACATGTACCTATATTTGCCAAATACTCCAATTGTATTGACTATATAAAATAGTTAATTTCTCTTACCATTCAATATTTGCCACCTTACCGTATTTTTTATTTCAAATAATTATAATTCTTGGTAAAAACTTTACACGGGTCAATTATACTATACTTATATTGTAAATATTACAAATATTATGGTAACATTTACTATAAAAATTATATTCCTAACTATAATATTTTTACTGTGCCATTATAGTTCCAAATGTCGTACATTTTTCTCTCAGTGCGAGCGAATGGCGTCAATTGTTATAAGAATCACGCGAGTGTAGTTCACGAACTGCGGGTATCCGAAGACGAAAGAAATACCGCGTTAACCGGTCCCGACGAACGTCGGGAGAGCAAGTGCCGTCGGCTCGTGGAACTCGGAACTTCGGCCGCCGTCGCGAGGCGGAGTGCTAGAAATCGGTTCTCGCGTCGAGGCTTGTCGTCCCTCGAGCGATCGCTCGACTTATGTTAATTAGGACCGGGATGCGCCCGGCTGGCATCCACTATTGTGCATGAGGTCTTAAAAGGATGATGTAGCCGAGTTAAGGCCTTTGCACGTAGAAAAATTTTAATCGTAATCGTAAGGTCGTAAGAAAACTGACCAATCACAGTCGATTATTCCTCAAACGCAAGGAGAATAATTAACTCTGATTGGTCAGTTTTCTTACGACCTTACGGTAAAATTTTTCTACGTGCAAGGGCCTTTAGCCTCGTACCGTGAGAAGCCTCGCGAGGTAGACGGATTCTCGACTACGGATCCGTCCCACAAAAACATGCACGTTACACCCACGTGGAATCCACGTGATTTCGTGGATTCCACGTGAACTCTACGTGGATTCGACGTGAATTCGACGTACGTTTTTGTGGGGCGGCTGCCGAACGATTCCGCTAATCTCGAGACTCGGAACCCCGCATCGTTCTTTCGTAAAATGGAGCGTTGAGTGTTACGAAGCATGTTGTAAATTATTTCTTTGTCCCCTGATTCTTCCGTCTCCTCCTCACGTGTCGCGCGAAGAGGATCCACACCTTTGAATTAAGAACCACGCCACTCTACCTAGTTAATTTTGTTTAGAGCTGCCGGCGGATTCGGCTGTCGCCGCCTTAGCGGAGACGAAGTTTGGCCACGTTCTCCTCGCCACGAGAATCTCGGTCACAATTTAAAATAGAACTATTTCAAATGTTACCCAGCCCTGTATACAAACATACAGCGGTAAACATCGCCGTCACAATTTATCTACCGTATATCATTCACGAATCTTCTTGAATTAATAACTCAAAATTTTACGCAGCTTTTCGCAAAATGGTAGAGGAATTTTTTATTCAGTTTGACCTAACCTGTCTATATATCGTGGCTTCTCTGTGAGTTACCGAACTCTTTGTATGTCCGAGCAAAAAGGATTATATGTATACATAATTATATGAAATTATACATATAATGAATATTTTTTGTATATTTTCGTTACTTCATCAATTATAATTAATGTCACAATCGATGTATTACCTCAGACGCTTTTTGCATAGCTTGGTGCATCGCGCCCATCTCCACGTCATACAGACGTTTCAGTTGCTCGTACTCCTTGCACATTTCTTTGGAAACTACATAAAAAAAGAATCAACGCGTGAGACGACTAATAACTCTCGTCGACAATTCGTGTCGACAATTAATGAAATTAAACGCTCACCTGTTTCAAGCTTCTTTATTTTCAACTCCTCCAAACGCAATTTTTCTTTCAGCTCGCTTCTTTCGCTCTGCAGTTGTTCCGTTTGCGATTTCATGTCTTCTATATACGCTACAAAATCAACCTTGAATTATTCAACAGCGCGCAATGATATTCCTCGGATCAAAATATGAGGAAGGATTTACGAGTTACTAATGTGCGTACCTGTTCTGTATCTGTCTATTGTGTTCTGCCACTCTCCCAAATATTCTCGCAACGTCATATTTTCCTTCTCCAACTCACAATTTTTCACGCACAAGTTTTCGTACGTTTTCATCTCTGCAAAATCAATCACGAAATATTAAAGAGTGAGCAATGACTTCTTGTATTCGAAAGAAAATTCAAAAGGAAAATTTAAGAATTACAAGGACTGACTGTACATGTACAGTAGGTTATATAACGATTTAGACACAATGAAATTGGCAGCTCACCAAGCTGTTACAAAATTGAAAATCATTATCGTCGGACTTATGTAATAATTACGTAATAATACATAATTAATACTATAATTAAGAATAATAATTTTATATAATCAAAAATAATAATCCTTTAAACGTATATATTTAGTGAAGACACCAAAGGCACATGGATACAAAGGAGGATATGACTTTTAGGCAATTTGGGGACCGCTAGGTGAACGCAAATTTTCTATTTTTTCCTTCGTATTTTTTCCCGTAGAATTAAAAAATCAACCTTAAAATTACGCCAAGTAAAGGGAAAAGTAGTTAAAGACATTTAACCGTTGATTTTCTCTGAAAATCATGCATTTTCCAACACTGCCATCTTAAATACCTTTGATCTTTTTAGAGGTGCTAAATCTCACATAGATTACATAGGAAACTTATTTTCTCAAAACTTGATAATGATATGAGAATATACTCTAAGCAGCAGAGAAAAAGCAGCAGTCAATCGGCCGAAATGGGCAACTAATTCCAAGCTCTGCCTTAAGCGGAGCAATTTGAACGGCGAAAGCTACTATATGCTCGAGAAGAGGCTCCTTATATGCTTTCGTTTATTAATGCCTTGTATAATCCTGAAAAAGCTGGACTACAAAATCACTTTTATACTATTTTGATAGTTAATATTTTTTTAATTGACTGCTGCTTTTTCTCTGCTGCTTAGAGTATATTCTCATATTATTATCAAGTTTTGAGAAAATAAGTCTCCTATATAACGTGAGATTTAGCACCTCTAAAAAGGTCAAAGGTATTTAAGATGGCAGGATTAAGTTGGAAAATGCATGATTTTCAGGGAAAATCAACGTTTAAATGTCTATAACTATGTTTCCCTTTACTTGGCGTAATTTTAAGGTCAATTTTTTAATTCTACAAGAGAAAATACGAAGGAAAAAATAGGAAATTTGCGTTCACCTAGCGGTCCCCAAATCGCCTAAAAGTCATACCCTCCTTTGCACCAACAATTTTTATCAACTTACAACTCGGCGCAAATTGATCAATTTAAATTTTTTATTTCTTTAATATAAGGAAAGAAAATCAGAAATTTGACGATGATGACATAAAAGCCGATTAAAAAAGTAATAAAAGAGTGGAATATTGATTTACATTTGAGTATATTCCGAAAAAATCACTTTTTGGGGAAATCAGTAAATTGCAAATTTGCATCGCAGTACGCTCGAAGAATAAATAAATTTATGATAATAACAAATAATTAATAATATAATTATTGGCCCATGATGCGTTTCAATTTTGACAGTTTCATAAGCTCTCAACTTCATTGTGTTCAAATCGTTTTGTAACCCATTATATGTATGTATAGCTGACCGTATTATGATGGACCGCGAATGCCTTGTTATTTATTAAAAATTTTCGACTAGCCACATTCGTTTCTAGCTATGCGTTTCTCACGACTGTTGATTAATTAAAAATGTATTCGAAATAAAAATGTTATTCTGACAACTTAATATTTCAGTAAAGAATACGCGTCAGTAAAGAAAATTATCCTTTCATATACAGAATGATCCACTTAAAATTACTTGAATATTACTTGAAATTTACTTTGAATATTTCACTTATTTTTAATGATGCGGAAAAATGTTTCATATGAAAGTGAAAGGGTGTCGAAGGGAACACAATTTGGACACGTTACTTTTTTTAGGTGGAAGCGCTAAAAAGATATGAAGGTTATCTTTACTTTTTTAAATGGAATTGATTTTTTTATAAATATAATTCCTCTCTTTATTTTATGTGTAAAAATACTAAGAAGTATAATTGTCGAAAAATCAATAGTTTACGAGATATTTTATACTTTATTCTGATAAAAAATTTAGTCAAGGAGATATTCAAAATGATATCCTTCGACTTCAATACACATTTTCGGATACGATACATAAATGATATTCTTACATTTTCTATCCTTTTTGAATTTATACTCGCACATGCTTCCAAAATATATTCTTTCATGTTCTGTTTCTGTAGCTGGTACATCATTGAAAACAATGTTTTTCAATGTCCCCCAAACAAGAAAGTCGATGAGATTTAAATATATTGAAGTCGGAAAATGTATCGAAGTCGGAGAACATTATTTTAAAAATCTCCTTGACTAAACTTTTTGTCAGAATGAAATATAAAATATCTCGTAAACTATTGATTTTCGGACAATTATACTTCTTAGTATTTTTATGCATAAAATAAATAGAGGAATTATATTTATAAAAACTATTTCATAATTCCATATAAAAAAGTGAAGGTGATCCTCATATCCTTTTAGCGCCTCCACCTAGAAAAAAACAACGTGACCAAAATATGTCCCCTTCGACACCCTTCTATTTTCATCTGAATCATTTTTCCATATCATCAAAAATAAGTGAAATATTTAAGATGTTCGATTTAGGTGAATCATCCTGTATAATGCGTAATCGGTAGAAGAGCAAAAGTATTAAAAGAAGAGAAAAAAAGAGTTAAGAGAAAAGTGAACAAAAGATTAATATACGAAATTAATTTGAATAATTAATCAGAAAGTGTGTACACACACACTTTATGTCAGTATATATATTTTTCGTAATTATTATATGTGTTATAAATATATGACAATTATATGTATAAATGTGTAATAATTACAATACATAGTATGTGTGTACATACACTTTCTGATTAATTATTTAAATTAATTTTTTGTATATTATTAATCTCTTACTTAGTTTCTTTTAACTTTTTTTTCCCTTCTCTTAAGATTTTATTCTTCTTCTATTGACTACGTATCATGTGTAAGCGGATAACCGTTTTACTGACATATATTCTTTATTGAAACGTCAAATTGTCAAAATGTTATTTTTTGTTTGAATACATTCCGTTCTTCTAGATTTATTACTCAACAACTATGAGAGGCCAGAAACAAATGCGGCTGCTCGAATATTTTTAATAACTATCGAAAACTAGTAAATGCTATAGCATTTATGTGTTGAAAAGTAAATATCGATTATATAGAGTCTCCTCTGCAATTTTTTGTAAAAACGTAAAACGGATTGAGGTAAACATAAAAATCCTATGCCGTTTTGTGATATTCGCAATAATAGTCGAAATATTAATTGAAGATTAGTGAATGATTGCGCGTGATATAGTAGATGAATTGTAATGGCGATATATGCTGTTGTGTACTTATTATTATTATTATTAGGTCAAATTGAACAAAAAAAGTCAAAGGAATAAATTTTGCCTTTATCAAATAACCTTGTAGATTTTTAGTTATTAATGAAAGAAAATTGTTACATGATTGCGCGCGATAATACACAAGTTTTCTTTAATTAATATCTAAAAATCTGTGTGGTTATTTGCAAAATAGTAAAGGATTTTTTCCTTCAGTTTGACCTAATGTATAAGTATACAACAGCAGAGGGCGCCACTACAGTCTATCTACTATATCACGCGTGATTGTTCACTAATCTTCTTTAATTAATACCTCAAGATTTATTGTGAATATCGCAAAATATGGGACTTTTATATTCACCTCAATCCGTTCTACGTTCCCATAAAAATCGCGGAAGAAAGTCTGGAACACCCTGTATATCGATAACTGATGATTATGTGAAGCATTAATCGATGTATTCATTATGTATGCGCTGCTTGCCTTTTCGCCGGCATAATCCGGATACAAGGACCTTGATTGAGGATAAGACTCTGACGCATCGCGTCGCATTACGCATGAATCGCTTCTCACGAGACGACCATCGCTTGATTACCTGATTCGTATTTGAATCTGAGGGCCACGGCTTTTGGAGAAGAATGTGGTTCCCTCACGCGCACAATGCGACGTTTACTTTTTAGTTTGTCGCGCTGAACTCGATCGACGCCTCGCCCGATTATCGTCGTCGATCAATCGATCGCTACGCGACTCGTTCCGACAAATCCTCGCGTGAACGTCTCGCGTTCAAAATAATGTTGCAATCTACGTCGACTTAAAGCTCTCTATCGTGTATAAACACGGCGTGACTAATAAAACGTCATTGCCGTCATTTCGTATGCACGTGAATCACAACGCGATAATCGACTGCATAACCACTCGGTCGAATGTCCATGAACTGTATTCGCGCGACACGCACTTTCCATCACTTATGAGCCTCCGTCAAGGGAAGTAATCGAATTGGCGTCGATTGCCCTTGACTTGAACTGCTTATTGTGTCTAGACTCGACAAAGAGCTATTAAAAAGTCACAAGAGAAATCTCAGTTTAGTCGGATTAGACATGCGACAATGAGTCGCGTCGGAAATAATCACATAAGTTAGGCTCTTCGTTTTAAGGGGATAAATTATTTTCTCAGATCGAAAAGAGCAAGAATATTCGGAAATTTATTTAAAGAAAACTCTACTAAATGAATATATTTGAATTTTATATGTGTGATTGATATTATTTACGTTTAAACAAAAAATTTATTTCTATTTTTTATATAGAAATAATGTCACAGTAATTTTTATTTTTAAACAATTAAATTCCTTAGTTCATTTTAAAGAAAAAATATAATTTTTTTATTAAAGTTCGCTCTTATTTTATTTTATGAAAAAAAATAAAACAAAAATGTGAAAATTCTGTCCCGTAAGATTGTAATTACAATAACAATACTATTTTATAAGAAATATTTTCTATTTTTTTAATCGATTTCTACTGTATAAACATAAATTATGCAAACCAGGTAAGTTGCAGACTCGAGCGGCGATTAATATGCTGTGACGTTATTACATAAGAAATAAAAATAAATCTTTTGGTTTAAATGTAAATATATTACTTTTAACTACATATATAAAATTCAGATTAATTTATTTAGTTTAAATAAATTCTTGAAAATTGCTGTTTTATCTTGAGAAATGTAATTTTTCCCCTTAAAGAGTTAGATCAAAGTTAGCCTTCTTGTCTTAGGCCATTTCCAAAGGCTCAGAATAAAGACAAGTTTCAGGAATTCGTTTTAGTTCAATTGAACGGAATATTCCAAGCAGCGTAAACAGATTTATTAGGTTCAATAGATTGTAGAAAGTATTCTTTTTATAAGAGAAAAGTCCCTTTCTTGGAGCAATTATTTTATGAAATTCGTTCAGTCTTTCCCATGAATCAGCTGAAGAGGTGATATATACCATTGCTCATTTATGTAATAAATTTTTAACACTGTGGATAATTTCTCTATCCGAGTTTAAGAAACAAGAAAATCTGCTTAAAGTAAATTCGGGTATTATGGCCATACCAGAAAGATGGCCATAGGCTGTAATTTCTCTAATAATTGCAAAACATTGCGTTTGTGTAATCAGTCACAAAGATAATCGATATTTATCGTAGTGTATGTGCGTACATTTTTCGAAATAGCAAAATTATGAATATTATACTATATTTTTATTTTCGACTACCTGTAAAACTTCTCATGTGTCTATTAAAACTTGCTGTAACGTCGAATAAATTACAGTTAAGCTATCGCAATCAACGTTAGATATATAAAGTAAGTATGTAAATTGTAATATAACATGCATTTTTATTTTTGTTTTCACTATTTGTTTATAAGTACTATTATAACCGTCTTTCACTCACATTTTGGATAAGATGGCCCACTAACATTCTAACATTTATAAAACGAAAATCGTTATATTTCAAAAATTATCCAGACAACATAATGTCTAAAATCGGGACATAAGACGTCTTAAAGATAATCTTTAAGACGTCTTAAAGACATTTATACGTAAATCGTTTGAAAGACATCTTAAAGATGATCTTTAAAACGTCTTATGTCCCAATTTTAGACATTATGTTGTCTGGTTACCTTTAATATTACAGTAATTAAATCTTATGTGCAATATGTTTTGATCAAAAATTGGATTTAGAATTTAAGTTTAGAGATTTCTACTTTATATGTGATTATATTTTTCACAAATAATATGTATTAAATATCTTATATTAAAATAAATATGTTAAATTATGTTTCTTTCATTGTTTTGTAAAATAATAAGTACAGAAACTTGAACATAAAATATGTAGGGGTCATCTATTCCTTTATGGTCATCTTATCTAAAAAATTGAGGTAAAATGGCCAATGCTCATGTTTTGAAATTCTATAATTAATAATTTCACTGAAGTATTTTCCTTTTAACTCCGATATTATGTACTGTAAGTTTCAGTGAAGTAATGTGCCAAGCGCTATTAAGAAATAACAATATTTTTTTTGCATTTTAAAAAAGTATGGCCATCTTATCCGAGTTTATCCTAATCTGCGACATTTTCTCTATATACTGATCATTTTAAAAAACATGATCGTTCGCAAAAACAAATGTTTTGTACAGCTTTGAAAAATTGTCCAAATCTGAAGGTACTTTTGACTTAACTTGAAACTACTTCTTAACAATCAATTACCTGGAATCGTGGTCTGGAGACTTGGGGATTTGGTTATGACCTTCCGCAAGTGAATATTTGGTATATTTTGCTTTCGTGTCGGTGTCCCCGTCAGCACTTTTTGCTTGACAACTTCAGGCTTTTTCACCTCTTTGTTGAACGTCGACTTATTCTTGTTGTACGATCTTGTCTGCACAGGGGAGTCGTACTTTTGAAATTGCGCTTTGCGTGCGGCCACGCTCGTCCCGTAAAAGTGGACCGTGTTTTCGGAAGACTTCTCCTGTTTGGAAGAAGTCCCTTCTGGAACTTCGAGCGAGCGCGATGTTACGTAGACCGGAATTTGAGAGTTATCCGTGCGAGTGGAACTCGTTCTCGGTTGGATGCTCGGGACAATGTTGATCTCCGTCTTCTTCATTTCTGTGGACACAGAAAGAAAAGTGCTCGTTAAATCGTTGGATATGATGTTAGAGTGTAATGAGAGACATTTCTTGGCGCTGAATAGCGTAAATGTCAAATCGGCATCACGTTCTTCTGCGACTGCCCTTATAGAAATATCATATTAAGAATCATTGATAATTATTTATTTTCAGTATTAAAAATACTGGATAATAAGTAATTATCAATGATTCTTAGTATGATATTTCTATAAGGATGCAAGCGATGCACTGCGCGTTCGTGCTTCCAATTACTCTCCCGTAACTAATATCGACAAAGTTTTACGCTATTATTATTCTATATCACTGTTCTTGAAACATTATTAAATAGGAACAATTATTCCGCAAATTAACCTCTTCTGTGGTGATTTAAAATGATCACGCAATTCCCCCTAGAACTAGTTTCTTTTTTCTTTTTTTCAAAATGTATATCTAGATTTTTTTCTCTTTATTGCTATCTTTTGAAGAATTTAGAAAAATAGGATATGATATATAGTAGTAGTAGTGTTATTTATTCTTTTCAGCTTACATAAATAGCCGAAAAGGGCACTTGGTTTACAGTAAATCTATACACTTATACGCCCAACCATACACCTCATCTACATCTAATTACTCTATCGTGCCTTAAAGCTGTCTCCACTGTCCCTGCTTACACCGCTTTAGCTTTTGCTTTTTATCTTATCCTATATTCTTTCCTTCCTCACTTTCTTAATTCTGCATACATCTAGTATTTCTAAACTTACTTATAAACTTATCACAGTCACATCGTAGCCTATTTTACTTAATCTCTTTTATTTAACCTACTATGCTAAGTATACCATCTTAACCAACTGTAACTTAATTTTCGAATCTATTATCATAACTTTTACTTAGCATGTACAGTTCTTACTTATACACTATTTGTACTATATTTATGACGCTTCCTTACTTTTTATCTCCTTTGTCTTTCTCTTCCTTTTACATTCTTTCTCTTTTTCCTTCCACAACCATTTTAATACTCTACCTTTGGTCTCCTCTAATTCTCCTCTAGGATACAAAATATATTTAATTTGTATTTGCTACAAGTTGAAAAATATATATTTAAGTACATCAAAAGGAATTTAATATTTTACCATGACATTTTTTCGAGCACTTAATCTTCCGCAAAAAATAGGTCTTACGACGCTATTATTATTCTTTATCATTGTTCTTTAAACCTGATTTTAATTATCATAAATAAGAACAATTATTCTAAATTAATTTCTTCAGTGATGATTTAAAATAACGGCATGATTCTCTCTAGAGCATATTCTTTTCTTTTTCAATACGCATATCTAGATTTCTTTTCTCCTTATTGCTATTTTCTTTGAAGAATTTTGGAGAATAGAATACGAAATATATTTGATTTGTATTTCCTATGAGTTAAAGAAAATATATACAATATTTAAGTAAAAGAATTTAATATTTTATCATAAAACTTTTCTGGACATACCACTTAAGAGATTAATTATAAATTAAGAATAAATAAATGATTAGTTATTATATAAAATATAAATGTAGACAGAATATAAATGTAAATATAAATATAGCTTATATAGGCTATAGTTATTATATAGGAAGTTTTAGAAAAGTTTTAGGAAGTTTTAGACGTAATTAGAAAAAGGCAATTATCGAAAAGTAATAGTTGTCAAAAAATTATTGAATTTCTATTCAACTCTAAGCGACTCTTTTTTCCGAACAATTACACTTCAGCTAATTATAATGTACAAAACGTAAAGTCATCCACATTAAGGAGACTGAAGGGTCAGATTGTCTAAAAATCGTGCTTGTTCTTTCATAATTTTTAATGACAAACTGAATGAATATGCAAAAGTGTTATTTTGATGTGTATTTATACAACATATAAATTATTATTGTGTGAACCACTGACAAACTCGTGAAAATATTTAATTTTAAAATATTAATTTTTTTACTATAAAAGAACTGTAAATCTAATAATATTCCATTAAGATATTTGCAATTTTGTTAACTTTTACTCAATTTCTATTATAGTGGTTCACACAATAACGACAAGCTTACGGAAATTTTCTACCTAAAATTCAGCTTAATTAAATCACTGAGAGTCAAGATATTACTGCAAAATAACGACTTTGAAAAGAAAAACGAAATATATTTTAACTGCATGTACCATACACTTATATTGAGTATTTGATCTATAAAATTATATTTTTCTTTTCTTTATATGTTGTATAAATACACGTTAAAATAACATTTTTGCATATTCATTCAGTTTGTCATAAAAAATTGTGAAAAAACAAGCACGATTTTCAGGCAATCTGACCTTCCAGTCCCCTTAATACATACCGGTCGGGGAATCAGTGACGTTTGTGACGAATGTCAATAACGAAGTTCAATAACGGAGACACGGAATTCCAAAGGTACGCATTACGTCTGTGTGTACATTCCTCATGAACGACATCATCGATCTTCCACGCTCGATCGCAGTGACACAATCTACGTCCATGGGCGGATAACGCGACTTGTGTTCGAATCAATTCGAGGGAAGGACGCGTTCACAACGAATGTCTCACTATCGATGCGGTCAAAGGTTAATAACATTAGATATTTGCAAAAATAAGTGTATCAGTCTCACCTTCGCCAGTCAAGTCGTGTTCGAAATAGCCATCGTGTCAAAATACATCCTCACGTCTAATCCGGATTTCATGAATGACGTAATGTAGTGTATTGTGTGTGTCAGAATGTAAATGTAAGCGGACGAGAGCAATTATTCGAACTACAATATATTTATTCTCCATGCGAAGCTCACGACTAACGTTCGACACTGTCATAGTTTCGTAGCGCGTAGTCCTTTGGGAATGTCAGCTGCTTATCGTCCATGATACGTGATTAGATACTATTTTTATCTATCTTTATTTACCGTCCTGACTAATCGACATTTAAGTCCCGCGCGGAGAAAAAAGTTGGAATTGGCCTGACAATGAATAAAGATGCGTTTTGGTTGAACGGAACAGTATCTTTGATTCTTACAAAGCAAAAATTTGATTTGAAAAAACAACTAGGGACAAATGATAAGGAAGCAGAATTTCTGTTTCTTATAAGACAAATTTAGTTCTAAAAGATAAATAAGGACAAATGATAAAAAAATAGAATTTTTAATTTTTTAACTGAATTTGGTTTATAAAAATCAGAAACGCTGTTTCCTTATTATTTAAAAGATTAGTCAAATTAAACTTAATAATAAACTTGTAAAATGCATTCTAATTGAGAAAAACAGAATTTTTCTTAGAACCGAATTGGATTTATAAGAACCAGAAAGGAATTTTGTTTTCTTATTATTTGCTCTTAAAAGTTTAGTTGAATTAACTTGATAATAATCCAACCAAATATATTTTAATTAAGGAAAACAGAATTTCTGGTCTTAGGATCAAAGGTTTACAAGAACCAAAAGTTCTGTTTTTTTCTACCAAAACGCACTCGGCTCGTTCATTAAGTTAATTGAAATTTTTTCCGTTTATTTATTTATAATTTTACAATTGGAAAAGCTCGTCAAACTGAATTTTCAACAAAAAGTATCGAAACGTTCGATGCGTGAAAACCTTCGCCGGACTCTTCGTCAAGATGACATATATTACAGATTACCAACTACCCATCTAATTACCAATTCAATAATGATAATTAGCCATTACTTCATGTGATCGCGCTTGTTGAGAAAGGGAGAGACGAGGAACGGGAAATATTCTCAGTAGATGTGATATCTGTGTGCGCGTTCACTTGTATACGTTTCTCTCAGCACTGGACGAAGACTCGAGGAGGAGTTGCAGGAACAGGAGGTTCGCGCGCGTTTCTAAAATAAGCCTCGTTCAAAAGTTTACTCAAGTTGGGTTTCAACGCACATGCTGAGCTTCGCGGGAGTAAAAGCCGAGCCTCCTGCGGGCCATTTAAAGTTAATATGTCAGAATGCGTGCGCGGGCTCTCTCTCCTCCCTTTCTTCCTCCCTCTCTTACAGGATCGCGATTATTAGACAAGAATCGACGTAGGGTGGCTAGTTCTTTCGTCTCGATTGCTCTTCCCCGTCAAAAGTTCACCAGGTGCGCGACTGTCTCAATAATGCCGAGCGTAATTAGCTTTTCCACTACATCGACGATCATGTTCCGTTGCACTCCCTCGAGCTGAACTAACGCTCTCGCGAAAGTCGATGCACTTGCAAAAAAAAGAAACGAAGAAAGGCCGAGAGGAGAGGAAAGACAGATGTGTATTAAACGCGGAATAAGACAATCTTTCATGTTAAGGTCGGCCGAAGAAATCAATCAATCCTTTCACGCGCGCGTTGAGTGCGTACAGTACAGAGGCGCGTTCTACAGCGTTAAAATCGATACTTAAACCAACAGGAGCGTATTCTCGAATTGGACTTGGAGTAAAGATCCATTATTGGTAGAGCGTGTGGGGGAATTTTTTTAATTGTCCTTTAACGAAATTTTGTATTGAATGAAGGAGGAGTGAGCTCGCGAAATTTATTTAAAATCATTAGAGATAAATGTTCCGTCATATACTTGAAGCAATTGAATACTTCGAAATACTGCAGAGTCAAATGTATATATTATGAGAGAAAAAACTACTACTACTATGAGAGAAAAAACATCTAAAAAAAAAAGATATTTATTTGGTGAGTACTAATAACATATTTACTTAAATTTAAATTCTTTTATTTAAATAGAATAAATAATTGCTTTCATGAAAGGCTGAGAATTTTCAAGAAAATGCATGTTTTCTTATTTGAACTATATTTTATATTGGTATTAGCAGATCTTTGTTATGTTAGTATCTACCGCAAATAAATATTTTTTTTATTTTTAGATATTTTCTTTTTTAGTATATGCATACTTATATATATATTACACACTTATATTTTTTATATAATTATATAAAATATAAACACATATTTAGCGGAAATTCTCTTATTATTATATCAGCAGGATTCTTCTA